CGGGACGCCCGCCGGCCGTGCGCGGGTGTGTACGTACGTCAGCGGCACCGGCGGCCCTGCACGTGCCGTGTGCGCGCCCGCTGCACAGCCTGGGGTGGCCGCAGACTGTGCGTGTGCGGCTCTGGAGTCGCGGGACGATGGTCTGCGAAGTACGCCGCTTTCCCAGTCCCCAATTCGCTCGTGAACGCTCGTTTGTCACCGTCGCTGAAAAGGTCGGCCTTGTCATGGCGCCCGCCACCCGCCTCGCACATATGGGACCCTCGGCTGAGACGGCGTCCCGGGCCGCGATTGAGGCCAGTTACAGCCCGGCCACCACGCAGGATGGGCAGAGGGCGAGGAGGAGAGACGGCGACCTGGCCGGGACACGCTGGGACTGGACGCCCGCAGTCGGGGCCGGGACTGAGCGGCGCTAGTCGTGACTGGACAGTCCGACCAGCCACGGTTGAGATGATCCGGACTAGCTGAACGTGTACCGAACCGTCCGGGGCTGAACGCCGAACCTTCCGGACTGAACACTGAACCGTCCGGGGCTGAACGCCGAACCTTCCGGACTGAACACTGAACCGTCCGGGGCTGAACGCCGAACCTTCCGGACCGAACACTGAACCGTCCGGGGCTGAACGTGCACCGAGCGGTCCAGGGCTGAACACCGAACTGTCCGGACTGAACACCGAGCTGTCCGGACTGAACACCGAGCTGTCCGGGGCTAAACACCGAACTGTCCGGGCTGAACACTGAACCGTCCGGGGCTGAACGTGAACTGAGCCATCCGGGTGGTGACAGAACAGTTCGAATCGTCTTGGTCTCAGATCCGAGTTCAAGTCACCGCCTCTGAAAGGCAATGAGAAAAAATGATCGAATGCTTGTTTATCCAATCACCGCTTCTGAGCAGTCATTTCCTCACGCATGATACATAGACGCCTGGGACAGAAGCAGAGACGATGTTCTTCAAATGGGCACTGTTCTCTTGGACATAAACAGACTCCCAGACAGAGTAAGATTCTTAAACAGAGTCCGGACTACAGTATACAGCCCAACTCGCGACCCGGGAAATATTCTCAGCTAAAGCTATCTCCGGACAACGACGGATTCCTAGATCAGAGTCAGCCTCCGTGGCAAATGTGGACCCCAGGCAGAGCCAGACTTCCCATCCGATTTACGCCGGCTCGACAAAGGCAGACTCCCGGACAGACCGGACAAGCCGCCCGCACTGTACAGCTCTGCTTTGAGTCCGCGAGCCAGTCTCGCAGATCACGGGCAGCCTCCAGTCGAGACCAGGCTGACCGGCAGCGGCGGCAACGGCGGCGCGCGCGCGCGCGGCTTCTCAGCCGCCCTCGCAGTCAGTCGGCGCCGCTCTCGCAGCGGCCGGCCGGCGCCGCTCCGATGCCAATTGCTATTCGGGCGCGGGCGGCGGGCGCCGGACGGGGTGCTGGTCCAGCCGTCGCCGTCACCTCGGTTGTCACGCCGGCCGTCGCCGTTTATCTGATCGACCGAGGTGGCGCCACCGACGAGGCCGGCCGCCAGGGCGGACACCCCTGCAGGCCGCCGGCCGGACACCCCTGCCGCGACAGCCGCGACACTGGAGGTGCAGGCGACGCTGCAAAGTAGCGGGCGGTGCGGTCAGGGCTTCTTAACGGGTGCACCGGTCCCCCGGCTGGAGTCCTTGAGAATTCCTCACCCAGCGTGGTGAGGTTATTTATTACTCCGCACTCATCGCTGGCGAATCTGTAAATGTGTTCACCTTGGCACGCTATCCTCAATCTAAATTGTTCTTGCTTGAAGTACATTGGAAGACGTCGCCGCGTTTGGCGTTCCCCTCCAGTGTGACTGGCCGCTTGTTCCCCGCCCTGCCTGGCGCTGGCGCGGCCGGTAGGTGTCCGCCGGCGGCCGCGGCGGGGGCCAGCCGGCAGCCGGCGGAGGCGGCAGGCGCCGTCCGGTCCGGCCGCTTGTCGCCTAATCTGGTGTCAGTCGAGCGCGCCACTGATCCAATCAGGTGTCGGAATGCTGCCCGGGCCGGCCCCATGTCGGCGGCGGCCGCGCCGAGTGTCAGCCGCGGCTGTGCTCCGCTGCAGCGGCGCGCTGACGGCGTCCAGCCGCGCCGGCCGCCGACGGACGGATGCAGCGACGCGATGCTTAGGCGGCCACCCTCTTCACGGCTAGGGCCGACGGGTGGCAGAGGGTGGGGCCGCCCTCTTCACGGCTGGGACTGACGGGTGGCAGAGGGTGGGGCCGCCCTCCTCACGGCTAGGGCCGACGGGTGGCAGAGGGTGGGGCCGCTCTCTTCACGGCTAGGGCCGACGGGTGACAGGGGGTGGGGCCGCCCTCTTCACGGCTGGAGCTGACGGGTGGCAGAGGGCGGGGCCGCCCTCTTCACGGCTAGGGCCGACGGGTGACAAGGGGTGGGGCCGCCCCCTTCGCGGCTGGGACTGACGGGTGGCAGAGGGTGGGGCCGCCCTCTTCACGACTGGGGCCGACGGGTGACAGGGGCTGGGGCAGCCCTCTTCACGGCTGGGACTGACGGGTGGCAGAGGGTGGGGCCGCCCTTTTCAAGGCTATGGCTGACCGGTGGTAGGGGGTGGAGCGCCGCTCTCCTCACGGCTGGGGCCGACGGGTGGCAGAGGGTGGGGCCGCCCTCTTCACGGCTGGGGCCGACGGGTGGCAGAGGGTGGGGCCGCCCTCTTCACGGCTGGGACTGACGGGTGACAAGGGGTGGGGCCGCCCTCTTCACGGCTAGGGCCGACGGGTGGGGGGTGGAGCGCCACCCTCCTCACGGCTGGGACTGACGGGTGACAGGGGGTGGGGCCGCCCTCTTCACGGCTGGGGCCGACGGGTGGCAGAGGGTGGGGCCGCCCTCTTCACGGCTGGGGCCGACGGGTGGCAGAGGGTGGGGCCGCCCTCTTCACGGCTGGGGCCGACGGGTGGCAGAGGGTGGGGCCGCCCTCTTCACGGCTGGGGCCGACGGGTGGCAGCGACTGTCCTTGCGTTGTATCCGAGCGAGGGGTTATGGTAAGTATGGTAGTGTTATGGTTAGGCTGTGTTGGTGAACAGGGTTGTGATTTCGAGGCGTAAGTCACACTAAACGTATTCAGATAGCGGCATTATCGGCGCGTAGCGTGGACTTGGCACCTGTCAATAATCAGTCTATCGAAGTAGACATGCTCTGGATCTTTATGCGGCGTAGGAGCTGGACGGGCCGCGGCCGTCTGTCGCCACCTGCTGCTTTCCGATGAACCGTCCAACGATCCTGCCGAGTCCAAATGATAGTGCAAACATGGCGGCACGGAATATGGATTTTCCTAGGTTACTTTTCATGCGACATGCCGCACGGCTTCACGCCAGCTGATTACATATTTATCGCTCCAGCGCTCCGCCCGTTTGGAATTGCATTCGGAAGAGTGAAATGTTGAACTGGTTCGCAGAGCAGCCAAAGCCTGGTACGTACAGAATACAGCATGTGCGGAGTGACCTCTGAAACGAAGTCTTGGTTACCGTGAATGTCACGTGTTGGAATTGTGAACGAGGAATTTTAACCCCTTGATGACCAAAACTGGAGAATAACGAAAAGGGCTTGGACAAATGACATGGTCGGACGATGATAGAAAAGCACCCGCAATCCCCCATACCATAAGTGTAAACTGGCGAGAATGTTGGGCTTACTCATAGCCAGATGTTTTGCGTTTGGCCTTGAACAAGCCAAATGTACATAAGCTGGCTTGCTTAACACGACATTCTTAACACATGAACGATGATATGCACACATATTCACACCTGTGCTGGCCCATAAACACAGGGTCAGGGTGAGAGAGGGCTAGGAAACCCTCGAAAGCAGCCTCCGCCATCACCATTAAAATTGCTGAATGCCGTACGCAGTGGTTGCTATGTTAATGCTTACTGTGCAGTCTTCACCCTAAGCGGGCGCCTGAGTGGTCCAGCGCCAGCTCAGTGACAGGGCGGCGACCCTGCCAGCTGTCAGGGTCTCGGTTTGGGGGTGCAATGCATGACCGAAGCGCCATGTCACCGGGGTCCGGTAGCTGCCGCGTGACCTGGGCTCGGCGTTGGCCCCCCGGGCCCGGTAGCGGCCGTGTGACCTGGGCGGTCGGTCGATAGCCGTCCGTCAGGTCTCCGACACTGGCTCGGTCACCGGGGCGCCGGCCGGTCACGGCGGTGCCGGTCGGCCATTGGCACACCGGCCGGTCACCGGGGCGCCAGCCGGTCCCCAGGACGCCAGCCGGTCACCGGGGCGCCGGCCGGTCACCGGGGCGCCAGCCGGTCACCGGGGCGCCAGCTGGTTGCCGGGACGCCAGCCGGTCACCGGGGCGCCAGCCGGTCATCAGGGCGCCGGTCGGTCATTGGCTTACCGGCCGGTTACCGGGGCGCTGGCCGGTCACGAGGGTGCCGGTCGGTCATTGGCACACCGGCCGGGCACCGGGACGCCGGTCAGGTGCGGGAACGCTCAACCACGGCAGGTCATGGCCGCTGTGTAAAGAGAGCTTGCGGTTTCGGTTTCTGGTGGACTGTAAGGGTCCGCGCGTCTAGTTGTGAGCTCGTGCCACGCTATGTAGCTGGCATGCTTGTCATTTCCCTACTTGCGATGTCTTCGTGACGGAGCCACCTCTTAGAGCATGACTTAAATGGACGTAATTCAGCGGCTGTTTTGCGTCTAACCATGTCGCGAAAACCAGTAGACATGACGTTCTTGTGAACGTGATGCCCAAACGTGATGGCGTGCTCCTGTTCAAGCTTCGTGGAAGATGGCCATTGTCGGCGATCAGATTACGCTGCCGCCACTGTCCGAGTGTACCGCGGTGGCCTCCCGGACATCCTAGCGTGGCAACCCCTCCCACCTCCTTCTGCTTTTGATCAGAATATAAATAACCTTGTACGGTGGTAAATGCGCCAAGCCCCGCTCCTGTTCGCTCTCCTTTCAGACTTGCCTGTGTTTCGGGATACAACCCCAAGCAATGTACCGACCGCTCTCATCCATCTGTGCTGTGTTTCAGGGAGCTGCTACGTGGGTAACCAGAATCTGGACACGCTGCTGGGCTTCGTGCTGATCCCGACGTTTGTGTACCTGGTGGCGGGTATCTCGTTCCTGCTGGCTGGCTTCCGCGCTATCTTCCGAGACCGCGGCCAAGTCGTCCGCTCGCGCAGCAACGACCGGCTCGAGATGCTCACCATGCGCATCGGCATCTTCGGCATCATCTACACCGTGCCGGCCACGTGCGTGCTGGCCGCGCTAGTGTACGAGTACACCTCGCGCCAGCTATGGCTCACACATCACAACGTGCATCCTAACGTCGAGATCCTCATGCTGAAGATCTTCATGAACCTGATCGTGGGCATTATTGGCGGCCTCTGGATGATGAGCCTGCAACCTTGCAAGGTGTGGCGGCACAGCCTGCGCCGCTTCAAGAAGCGGCCCGTGCCGCCGTACCTGGAACGCGTACCCACCACCTGCCCGCACCACCCACCGCCGCCCGAGCCGGCGCCGCGGCCGACGCTTCACTACAGCCGCCATTCGCGGGACTCCCGCGACGCCTGGCGGTCAGGTGGCGAAACGCAGGTGTAGTGTCGCGCCGTTACGCGCCGCAACCAGCGTGCTACGCTGCTGGGCGCTGAATGACGTTCCGATACGAGCGCGTTGGGACATCAGGGTATTGGGTGAGCCTGGGATGCGCGCCGGGCGAGGACGGTGACGTGCACCGCGACGCCCGTCACCAAGGCCGTGTGATCGGCAACTGCTACCGCTCGCGTGCTGCTGGTCCGAGCTGCGTGTCCGTCCGCGTCATTTCAGAGCAGCGATTGTGTTACGGCCGCCATCTCAGGCGTTTGGTGCCGATGTCTGGCAGGATGTGATGAGCGAGTGCGGAGAGACCTCTGTGTTTTGCATGCTATACGCTACTGGCTGCATGTGTGATGATGTTTTGGTCACCACTGATGTTCATGTTTGTCTGCCATAATTTCATTGTATACGATATTGCCATGTAGAGAAATTGGCATGACACCATTTTCATATGGATGTCACCAGGTCCCGCAGAGGCATACGGACCCACGTGTCGTGTTGGCGTAGTTTTAGTAAGCATTTTTTTCCCAATCGCTTTTGCCATCCAGATGGACCGGTCCGATTCGGTCCGGCTCGGTCCGCTGGACTAGTTTTAACGCCCCAGGCGGGACCTCTGCGGTTCGTTGTTTCCAAATGGTGTTCACTCGGTGTTTGATATGCCGTGTCTGGACGCCGCCATGCATGTTTGACGTGTTACCTCAAGCTGCACTCTGGTGGGCGTGGAAGGATCAATTTCCTTTTCCTATCATTTTTCATGTGTACAGTGTAACGCTATAGGAGATATTTTAACACGCACATGCGCTGCAGCTCTCATGTTACTTGTAGTTTGTTGCAGACCGAAGAACCATTTTCGAGCTTAAGCCACGCGCCTTCCGCCCGCATGTGCTCAACGGTCACCGCGGTAGGGGTCAGCGACCGCTGCCGGAAACACGCTGTTGGACCACGCCGACTGACTCCAGCACGAGGGTGTGGGCGTGGGGCCCTGCCAACCCAGAGGCTAGCGCACCTTGTGTGCTAGGGTGCCGAACTCATTCAAAGCTCGGTCTGACATCGGCTGTCGGCAAAATAGTTGTCGAATAGTTCTCTGACTCCCTTACTCAGCTGGCCTGGCCGTTGAGCTTGCGTCGGTCCAAGTTCTCTGAGTCCCTTACTCAGCTGGCTGTTGCTGGCCTGGCTGTTGAGCTGGCGTCGGCCCAAGTTCTCTGAGTCCCTTACTCAGCTGGCTGTTGCTGGCCTGGCCGTTGAGCTGGCGTCGGTCGAAGTTCTAATACTTGCATAGCTTGACATCGTGAGATAATGTTAAAGTAACGCTGGTTAGATCTGTCTTACTTATCTCGAAACGAGCAATGCGATTCACATACCAAACTTCTGTTTTTAGTGTGTTTAGTAATTTGTTTTCCGAATTTCTAATACTGAACCACCCGGCTTGCATGACGTGTCTGCAATAAAGTCTATCGTTACCAGTAGAAGTCCTGTGCTGTGCTACATGGAACGCATGTATTGCCTTCATGGGGCTATGCGAAACTTGAGCGAAGCGTTCTGGAATGAATTGGTTCACCTGTGTAGATTCGAGCGCTTATTCACTCTCCCCCAGCCGAGAGCTGGCTGGCAGTGGAGTTGGTCAAATGCGGATGTCTTGGCGCGAAATGGATGAATTTGGACTGATGTACGTTTCCTCGCATTCAAGCCAAAGCACTCCAGAAAATGCGCGATTGGCGTGGAGCTTGGTCTATGTGAGCCTGGGCCTAGCGTCTGATACTTTCGCGCCGCATGGCGCCGCTCGTGGTTCAGTTAGAAAGCCTCAGGTGGTCGACTAGTTCGCGAGAACACCGAATCTGACGTCTGGTGTTTCAATAGCACTAGGTGATTACGGCTAGCCCGCAAGTCAATGTAATCAAATGGTGGCTAACGACTAATGCAGAGTTCGTGCTCAGACTATGACGAGGGAGTACAAAATACGCCCTCACTCAATCGTGTTTAGAATTTAATGCGCAAGAGTTATGTTTGCCACGAATTCACTGTAAAAGGTAGGTAAAATGTGCGGCGTCGGTGGCGCGCCAAATTGCCTTGGGTAATCTTACGTAAAATTCGTCGTCACATATGCAGTTGCTGCCATCTGCGGCCGAGGCTATACAGAAAACCATTATCGTACAGATCTTGGACTTGTGAACATGAGTTAATTCTGCCCAGCCCGTATACACCACTGAGCGAGACGCTGTGAGTGACGGAGGTACAGGCGCTGGCAAGCACATTTTGGGGCTTTTGGAAACAGCAAGGTCCTTCTGACTTCATTGGAAGAGTCCTGGAGCGATCAGGCGCGTCATAGGAAAGGTCCCGGAGCGATCAAGAGGGTCATAGGAAGAGTCCCGGAGCGATCAAGCGCGTCACGGCGTAGGCCACCCTGATAAAATGGGAAAAACCTGCAAACAAGAGAGACAACACCTGAGCGATCAAAGGTGTACTGGTAAATTAACAGAGCTGCTGATAGATATCAACATGTCATATATATATATATATATATATATATATATATATATATATATATATATATATATTCACTTGTCTATCGATATATCTACCTATCTGTTTATATGCCCATATTTGTTGCCATTATTAAAGCTTATGTGCGTCTGCACAGAATGCGGACCTGAGCATGGTAGTTTGCTTCAGCTCATTGTAAATATATCAGTTTTGTGAAGCAGGAGTGCAATTCTACCTTTCCTTTGCCGAATGAAATGCGAGATGTGCGTATGATTTACTTTTACCTTTGTGCTTACTACATTATTTATGCATTAAGTTATGAATTCACTAGCATGGAGCTTCAGCAATGTGTGTGGCTATGGCAACCTGTTTGTACGCGCACTCGCAGCACAACACGATTTCTTCAACACAACATACACGTTTCCAGTTCGTTTAAAGCAGATCTTAAAGCACTCTGCGATGCATCATTTAAGAAAATATTTCCTATAGAAAGCCTTTTCATCACGTTTCACTGAACAAGCACTACGACCCTGCTGCAGTTGCGGGGTACACTGTTATGAGATGCCGTGTTACTGAACGAAAACGACCCCCACAAGCCTCGCTTCGAACGTGTGGCAAACACATACCCCGCGTTGCCAATGGCACGTCTTACCCACGCTGATCGCAGCAAAGTCGCGAGTTGAGCTGGCTCTTTCACGACAATGCGATTACACTTATGTACACATATTCGGTGTTATTAGCTTATTCACGTCCAGCCAGCCTAGACAGCGCTGGCAAAGGTCGTGCTTTTAATGACCCGCTATCCCTATGGGCTGAAAACGCATTTCAGACGCGGCATCTGTACAGCGTCCAATACACTTACACCACTGCAGTAGCGCGCATTCCGCAGCGCTATCGATCACAGTACATTACACATGCGGTCATTCGGCGTCAGGTGTAACTGATGTAATAGCACTACTAGAATCATTGAACGCTCTGTACCGTCGCACGAAAAGTAAAACGTACATTACTGTTTTTACTTTGCTGCGGTGATAAGTGGATCATCCGAACAGCCCTGCCTGGGGGCGGGCTTCTGGAGCGCCAACATGTTCCTAGGCGGTAGTGATCACCTGGATCTTAATCAGTTGTTAATCAATCCATGGTATGCGATCCTCTTGCGCAGTGAGTAGGGCTTCATCGTTGAAATTCACCAGTTTGTCTTGATTCTACGAATACTCTGTTCCAAAGTACATGACAATACAATCATCCGCGCGCTGTAGAAGCTATGCGGCACCAGTGCGATGAGCACGTTCATTTTTTGAAGGAACTGAATTAAGTGCGACATGTACAAGAACCCTGGTAAGCACTGCAGGTACTGGGGTCGGCCTCGCTGCTAAGTTTTAACCCTATAAATGTATTGTAAATACCCCTGAGAGGAGCCGAATAGACAGGGGCGTAACACGCGATGGAATGTAAGCACAATCAGCCGCCAGCAGTGAAGGACGCTGTCAAAAAATGAAATGGGAGAGCCATCAAAACGCTCAGGATCGCAGCGTCCAGCGTTCATATCGTCCAGGATCGCAGTATCCAGCGTTCATAACTTCCAGAATGCGTTCAATTCCGTGCCCATTGGGGGCTTTCATAAGGTCCAAGGACGCAACTTCCAGAGTCGCAAAGGCCAGTCGTAAAGTCCAGTGTTAAACATGTCCAGTGTCCGTGGCAACCAGGCTAGTTTGGATTCCTGCCGCTAGATAACACCACAGAAGCATCTTTGAGTCCTGCTGCTGTCACGATCCGTCCCTCTTATCCCCTATTTTGCTTCATCCTGCATCCTCGCGACACCCTACTTGTCCGGGGCAGGCTGCATGCGTCAGCCACGGGTGGGCCGAAAGCCCCGTGGGAAGGGGACTCTCCTATCCATCGATGGGGACCCCCTGACTGGGTATCTATCGCGCATGCGCGGCTTAAAGTTCGGTGTTTGGCCCCCCAGGTGCATGCAAGCCTGCCCCGCCGTTAACCATTTTCCTGCATGGCATGGTCCTGAAATTATCATTTCTGGTCGAAAAGGCTCTAATCCCCCAAAAAAGAAGCCAAACCTGTCGTTATTTTCCTCTGTTCTAAACAGATGACACAGTCAACCTGGCTTTTCACTGATGATCACGTGATGCGTACAGTCAATCATGGTTACTTTAAATTATCTAGACGCCTGGCAGCCGCGTCCGCCGTGGATGCGGCCGCGCCCCGGGACTCACCGGCGGACTGGACGCAGACGCGCCGGGCGGCGGCGCAGCCGGAGACATGGTGGGTGGCGCGGTCTCGGCGGGGACCGCTGCGCCCGCGGGGTAAGCGGTTTTTCCCGCCCCGCTGCTACTGCCTGGGCCCCGAATGCTGGGGTACACTCGGTTGCTCAGGGGCCCTTCATATTGGTATCCGGTTCTTCATATCGGGTTCTTTCCACATGCTTGGAGGACCCCATAGTGTTGCTGGGGCCCCATATAAGGGAACGCTCCGAGGCACCCGATGCTAAGGGGCCCTCTCCATTGACCTATGCCTTTTTCCCTTTTTGAGCTTATTTGCTGAGAGCTTATAGAGTTTTCGGCCAAGACTTGAAGCCCATGCGTTTCTCGATTGGGGCTGAAGGACCTTTCCGTCCCCGTTCAGATTTCCAATCGGTTAATATTACTACACATGATACATTGGTCCTCTCTCTGACGCCGAAGGCCCTCTGACCGGGATGGTTGACCTTGGATCAACGTGGAGCCACTCATCGTTTCAAAAAGGTCCCGGGAGTAGCAGGTTCAATAAATAGCACAGGGATCCCAGTTCGACGCATTTGGGCCCAAGAGAAAACGGGCAGAGGGACGCTGTCCGGTGCTGGTTCCCGACAGACACGAGGCTCTTCCATTAAGGCGTCCATAAAGAAGAAGGAGGGGCGGGGGGGGGGGCGGCTCCGGTCCAGCACGAGCGAGATCCCGAGATGTCCGACAAGTCCGGATGTCCGGTCCACTGCGATGTATACTGCGGCGAACCGAGTGAAACCGAGTCAGGGGCCTCGGGCTCTGACGCGAATATGGCGTCTCCGACTGAACTGGCAGTGTTTCGACTGCGGTCGGGCTGCCCTATGGACAGGCCTTGCGCGCGTGTGGCGGGGTTCGGTTCTCGGGCGATGGACGGCGCGCGTGTGAATGCGTTCTTTGTTTGGCGGCCGGGCTGCCTCGTCCGCCGGCCCGCCGCGGGCGTGGCTGCCGGCCGGACCGTCGAGCTGGGCAGCCTCTGGGCTGACCTGTGTGTCCGAGCTCCGCGTCCAACCGAGTGCACATTATCATTCCCACATACATACAGTGATTGAGCGAAATCATTGTCTGCAAATTTGGTTTGTTTGTCAGACGGCCTGTAATACCGATTGGGGGTGTGCGTCTCACCGGCTGCTATGACTATTTCTAGGCGGAACGCATCTATTACGTACTTATCAGGCATTAGGTACGTGGGATGCGGTAGAGGTGTGGCCAGGACTCCATCCCAGGATACAAAAGTCCAGAGATGAACCCCCTAACCACTAACTACCATGCCACCATTGCCCGCCTGCGGCGCGAACTGCACCCGTCTCGATAAACCCAAGAATGGCGTTGCTGGACCCCAAAGTCTTTACTTAGGAGGTTCTGAAGCGTAAAAGGAAGAAAGCGCGTCAAGATTGATGAAGTGGAGGACGAATACAACCTCACGATTCTCCCAATTCATTCAGCTTATACATCGCAAACCAGCTCGGTGACATACATTCGGCTGTGCTGTTCATATGGTGAATCAACAGCGCCTTTAAGCGCGGCACGTGCGTAGTGTTATGCGTGACGTTTGGCAGGCAGTTGAATACACTCGCAGTCAACGTTTGTTTTTTACCTGCAACCAGGAGTGCGGTTCCTTATTCAGTAGCAGAGTTTTCATCCCCCGTCGTAACTTTGGTTGCAGCCTGCAGATTGGTGAAAAACTGAGCCAAATTCGGAGAGAAATC